TAGACGAAACTTTAAAAGTATATCAATTCATAATAATAGTAAGGACGAATAATATTTGATTAATCAGTTATCGATATATTGAGAACCAATCAATCATTTTATTGACTAAGCCCTTATAGACCCCGAAAGACACATTCTCAAACAATTCCTAGGTTCCTCTTAAGTGAATTTAATGAGAAAAAAAATCGTCGAAGTATTAAATTATTTAAATCCAATGATAATAACATTTTTATATTTATCTTTTTAAGGTAGAACAGTTCATTTGAAACATTGTAAGGAAGTTAGTTTAGAAAATATTGGAGAATATTGGAAATTCTTAGACACTGGAAAACTTGATAAAATTTGTTAAAATCAACCCTTGTACTATTTACATTCATAACAATTTGATCATCATATCGCTATATTTTTATCCTGCATCCTGCATCCTGCATCCTGTTTTTTTTCCCCGGCCGGCTAGCTGCCTTGGCTATTGCCGGCACCTCACATTTCTTCCACCTCACTTTTTAAAAATTTATTTATTTTTATTTATATTTTTTTTTGGGGTTGTGTTCTGGGACGTTATTTCTACATTTTTAGCCCTCCAGCTCGTGGTGAAAAGGCTCTGAAACTATCTCATTCACTAACATTCAATCCTAGCCTAGCCTATATGCGGGTTTCAGAGTACTCGATATTCCTCTGAAGACCCGCCCTCGTTCACGCTAATAAATACATTCATACATTATGTACAATTAAAATTACAATTAATCGAAAATATAAACCTAGGTTGGTGGGTGTATGGGGTACTTGATATTCCACCATAGACCCACCCATGCATATACCACTATCGCACTAATAAATACATTCACTCAAACAGGAACAAATCATTATATATTTACAATAAAAAAATACGGAGCCATTGGTGCATTTAATATTACAACAGTGCCTCCGCCCATTCACTCTAAAAGATATTATAGCCTAACACTAACCTAAATCGGTGGGTCTGTGGGGTACTCGATATTCCTGCACAACTCTCCCATCCAAACTCACTTTCGCGCCAATAAATACATTCATTCTACCCAAAACACACAAAGAGAGATTTCCTAGTTTGGTGGGTCTGTGGTGTACTCGATATTCCTGCACAACTCTCCCATCCAAACTCACTTTCGCGCCAATAAATACATTCATTCTACCCAAAACACACAAAGAGAGATTTCCTAGTTTGGTGGGTCTGTGGTGTACTCGATATTCCGACCACTACCCACCCATACACTCACACATTCTCGCCAATAAATACACTCACTTCAGGAAGGGAAAACGAAACCAAGTGTGGAGAAGTATTAAAGGCGACCATATGCATTTATTTGCTTCAGATATTCGATTACTTTCTTGCTGTCGTCATTGCTGTGTTGTAAAACCTTTTTCAAACTCGAGGAAAGGCCACACTTTGTTCTGTCCGGCGCCAATAGTTCGCATTCGGTTAATAAATGCATAACAGTTATTTGTGCGCCGTACAATTTCATCCTGTACTTATTTTAATATAAATTATTCAATAGACGGTACTAAAATCACGTGCCTGGCGGGCCTTGTAAAACAGTTTTGAAGGTCGGTCGTCGTTGAAACATTTCAAGTGGGTTCGCGATCATGAAACGGAATCGCGTGTCTTCTCAAAAGACCGCAAACGTTGAGTGCGAGTCAGAGAAACAACAAAACCAAAAATTGGCAGGGCTAGCTCATAAATATCAAAATACTTATAAATAAAATAACCCTTATAAAACGTGTACAAGTGCAAACAAACTCGTGTCAGAAATGGTCAAGTGATTTAATATGTTGTAGTAGCGTGGACTTTAATGCTATACTCACCAGATCAAGGTTTTTTTCTATATGTTTTTATCGTTTGTTCTTACCTGGCTAAGATTATATTCATTGAAGGGCTGGAAAATGAGAAAATAATTTTTAGATTCAATTTAACTTCTTCCCAAATGTGCTCTTGAAAATAGTGCATATTTCAATAAAATTGCTTAACTCATTTATTGTATAATTTTCCTTATACTAGTGTGTTGTTGGTATTTTTTGTGATTACAAATAATTACACTCAAATCTTTGAAAAACTGATTATTTTTAACCCTATATAACAGATTAACAAACATTGTCTTCCTTGAAAAAATATTTGAATATTCATTAAGTGTGTGGTGGTTAGTGACCGTTAATCGATAATTATTCAGAAATCGTGAGATGCGGTCTGGTGTGATGTAGTTTTCAGAAAAACATTTTCTTTATCGTGCCAACGTTTCGATCTTTATTGAGATCATCTTCAGGGCTCAAAGTGTTTGTCCTCTGTGTAATTGTGCCACTCTCAACACGACAGGCAAGAATGGCACAATTACACAGAAGACAAACACTTTGAGCCCTGAAGATGATCTCAATAAAGATCGAAACGTTGGCACGATAAAGAAAATGTTTTTCTGAAAACTACATCACACCAGACCGCATCTCACGATTTCTGAATAAATATCCATTAAGTTTAAGTCAAATGATTATGCCATAGAGAAAAAACTATTCATATTAATAAATTAACGTATTCGTGATTATCATATGATTGTAGGTACGTTTGTAGACGTGAAAATGGTAAAAAAGCACACACTGAAAAGTCCCTACTTCCTTCATCTCTCTTACTCACTTCCAACTTTATATCATTCTCAAAGGAGAAGTTAACAACAAAAAAATAAAATTCTGGGCAATTTGTACGTGGTGGAAGGGTTTCTCAAGTTGCGGCGTTCTTGGACAAAAAAGGGATTTTTAAAGGTCAAGGGCGGGACCGTCATGTTATTAAGAGGGTAAATATTACACCCCCTGAATATATTGCCTCGCCGATCAGATTGAAACTAAAATTGTTTGTAGGGCTTATTTTAATATTTAAACGATAAAAACAATCTATACTCTTTATTATTCGAGATGTATTTAAAGTATAACTCTATACTCTTTCACCAAAAAATAAACATTTATTATCTCATGAAAACATAATTTATTATCAATACTAAACCCAAATTGAGGGCTTTGTCTTTAAATATGATTTTATGAAAGGTGATAATATCGCATTATTGATTAAATTTATCTCAGCGACCTCGGAAAAATCAGAAAATGTTTTCCATATTTTGAAATAAAATCTATAAAGTAATTAAAACTTTTTATTAAAGTTTAACATAACTGGGTCAGTCCTAAAAACTATTGTTTAGATTTTTGACGAGGAAATGACCCAAACTAATGTACGCAAATAAATATAAACCTTTGTTTTTAACAATTTGTAAAAATCAAATTTTACGTCAAAATTTACACAAAAAGTTTATATTTATATTGATAATTGATTTCCGAAGCGAGTGCCGTTTATTGCATTCTTAAGCGTTTAATTATATTATTAAATACACAATTAAAAACTAGGATTTTATTTTTTTTTAATTTTAATTTTCTAGGTTTTACGTTAAGATTTTCCTACAAAACAAATAAAAATTTCATTTCTATAGATTTTAGTGAAATAACAGATTTTAATGAATTTTTTGGTAATACAAAGTCGAAATAAAAAAATTCGGATCAGAAAGGATCTTTCGAAGGTATGGGCTGTATGTTGCAGAAGGATAAGGTCGATTGGGGATGAGCGGGTGTTACGAATGTGATGTGAGGAGTTGAATTGGAGGGATTGGATGATGTAAGGAGGACGACGAGTGTGGATGGAAAAGAAAGCAACCTAGGAAATACTGTGCACGGAAGGAGGGGAATAGCCAGGAAAGTTGGAAATACAAACCCGACACCCGGGATCCCCGTGGGGTGCCGTACACAAATCTTACGCAACAATTCATAATACGCTCAATCGCGCGTTCTCCCCCTCCGAGAGACCACCATATGCCAAACAGCTATAATCGAAGAAGGGAAGTATAAAGGAAGATACAAGAAGTTTGCGGGTGGAGAAAGGTAAGAGAAGCCAGGACCGACGAAACAGGCTGAAGGAGGCGATGGAATGGCGGCAAATTTGGGAAATGTGAGAATGCCGGGAAAGGTTTTGGTCAAAGACTACTCCTAGGTTTTTAACCGAAGAGCAGAAGGGGATGGGATGATTATTTAGCATGAGAGGTGGGATGCTGGGGAGGGAATTGAGGAGTTGCCTGGACCCGACAATTATGGCGGTGGATTTGGACGGATTGAGGACTAGGGAATTTTTATGGGCCCATTCGTTGATGGAGTTTAGGTCTTTTTGGATCTTGAGAGTGGCCGAGTGAAGATCGGAAGTTTGGGAGTCATCGGCATATAGGTGATAGTTGCAGGACTGGATGGAATCGGGCAGATCATTGATATAAATGGAAAAAAGGATAGGAGAGATGCTAGAGCCTTGAGGCACCCCAGATTTTAGAGGGAGGAAGGAGGAGGTAAGGCCATTGGGAAGGGAGACAGCTTGGTGGCGATTGGTAAAGTAGGAGTGGAACCAACGGATGGTGCTGGTGGAGAAGGAAAAAGATTCGAGTTTAGAGAGGAGAGAAGAGTGAGGGACAGAATCGAAGGCTTTAGAAAAATCAAGAAGGATAAGTATAGTAACTTTAACTAGTATTATACTTAAAAATCGATAATTGTGTACTCTAAATTTTCCAATGTTCACGGTCTCACAACCGTTGGAATTCTGTATTTCTCTTCTTTGAGTCTTTATAAAAAAAACAAAAACCGTTTCCTTCTGATAATCATCTGAATAGGTTTTAGTCTGGTTTATAGATATAAAGGTCAATTTCTCAATAGATTTTTTTTAGTCTCGGTAGATAAAAATAAGAATGTCGTAGCTAGGAAAAATTTCACAAAATGGTCTATTTATAGTTGAATAAAGAAAGATTATATTTTGTTTGCTAAAGAAAGTTGAAGAACGAGAAAAAAGTAATTAATCAAAGATGGTAACATATAATTACAAAAATGGGTTAGTCTATACATGCAATCAGCAATTTTTGTTCAATTGCTGTTATGAAAAAAATTGTTAATCAAAAACTTACCCATTGGGTCGGAGGGTAGACTGGAAAAGGTGCGATCTCCTTGGTGGCCACATGGCTTGGAAGTTCGAATCTTCCTCTCCGGTACTTCTTCTGTCTCTGCTTTTGTTTTTCTCGTATATACAGAGCCGCCTGCATGCTAGACACTCCATTCCGTCGACTCTCGTATCATCCATCCCATAATATCCCTCATCTCTTATCAACAGATGCTCAGGATTTTAAGTCTGTCGAGGAATCTTTCCTTTCCCTTTTGTCAAAAATATTCGTTCTTTTTCTTTAAACTTTTGTGTAAGTAAATTTGTTGTAAAATTATTTTATGTTTTTATATCTCGTATTTACTATAAAATGGACCACGAATATAAGCGTTGAAGCGATTTCATAATAATTGACATTAATAGCGAGCGTATTGTCCTATACAAAAGTCAACTTTCTTCTCCATTTCCATACGCATATTTTTAAAAATATATATGCTTTTTATTTTAAATATCTTATAGTAATAAATGTATCATTTTTTCTCAGTTTTTTTTTACATTTAACGCGAATGATATGTGGACACAAGAAGCGTAGAGTAGGCCGTGTCGATAGCGATGAATATAAAGTATGTAAAAGAGTACGTTTATTTTTATTTGGTCCTTAAGTTGCCTAGTACGTGCGGCGCTTACCTGAAAAACAATCACTTTTCAGCACCGACAGAATCTTTGGGCTAAATCAATCCATTACACATTCATACGAATTTTAAACAATCCAATTAATTAACAATCTTTTGTTATACGGTTCGTTACTCAAGCTTTGCAATTACATTCTAAATTCAATGAAGATGTAATGGACTAAGAACGCCGAGAGGGTTCTATCATTGTGCCCAATTATCGTGTCCTAAATAGCAAGGGCTCTTCAAAAGCTTGAGGAGAAAGCTAAGGGCTCAGCTGGTTATCCTCTTTCGAATGGTGGGAATAAACTCAAAGCCTAACACGAGATAGAAGGGACAATGCGATAAAGGGCCTGATTGTACGTAGGAGGGTACGAATGCGTTTAACCAGATGAAATTCGAAGAAAATCTGTTTTCCTGTTTCAATGGAAATATGGGAAACCTTTCGCTAAGGCCGCATTGAATTTTAAAAAAAGTGTATAAAAAAATAACATTGTTTTTAGTTAAAATTCCTCGAAAATCAAATTAAAGAATATTCCTGTTTCATATAAGGCAGTGTTATATTCATTGCAGAGAAAAAAATATTAGCTGATTAAAATTATTTTTTTGGCAAATTTTGATTTGATTCTCTACAAGGTTGTTACAAAAGTCTTTGTACATGAAAGCATTATTAATAATTCATTTACGTGTTAGTGGTCTATTACTTCTTTCAATTAATTATTCTTTTCTATTCAATTATTCTTTTTTGTAAGGTCTTGGTTGAGATAAAAAAAAGTCAGCGTCACGAACGGGATTCGAACCCACGACCTTCGGCTAAATACGCCGCTACTGTACTTGAGCTATCGTGACTTCGATCCTCTCGGCCGCCAATTCTCCATCTTAACCTACAGAATTTTTCCTCCTTTTTGCCATTATCAAATGTCGTGTAATCAGGATTGGATTATCAGCGACTTATGAAGTAGCCACGGGGAGCTGTTTAGTGAAGTGATACTTCTTTTACTTATTAAATATTATTCCATTTTCGTTTTAGTAGTCAATTTACCAAGTCACTTCTTTCAATTAATTATTTTTTCTATGTGAGATTTTGGTTGAGATAAAAAAAGTCAGTGATACTTCACTAAACAGCTCCCCGTGGCCACTTCATAAGTCGAAGAAATAATAATTAATTGAATTATTAATAATTGTATTTTATTACACTTGTTTTAGATAAGATAATCACAAGCTGTCATGTTGCCGCTGCAACAATATTCTAATGAATTATATAGCGGGTTAATAAAGGGAGTATAAATAATAGTACGAAAATATTATTAAAAAGTCACGTTGGCTGAGAACAAAGCAAATGTGAATCGTGTCCTGAAGCAGTTCGATTTTTCGGTTTTGGCCGACGTGTCCCGAAAATATCTTTAGCGTAGCTTTAAAAGGGCTGTTTTAATTGAATTCGAATGAGTTATAAACAAATCATCGGTAATCGATTTCATTCCGTGTTTCCGGTGAGAAAATAAAAGGGAAATTCAGCCTTTCCGTTTTTGAAACGTTAAACAGTTTTTTTCCGACTTTACAGTTCATACATTATGTAACTATTAAAAGAGCCAAACACATAAATTTGTTTTTATGTTTGTTGTGGTAATCAGCATTGTGTGGTGATTAGTGACCGTTAATCGATGATTATTCAGAAATCGTGAGATGCGGTCTGGTATGATGTTTGTTTCAGAAAGATATTTTCTTTATCGTGCCAACGTTTCGATCTTTATTGAGATCATCTTCAGAGCCTGGGATTTACAAACATTGTTTAAATTTAACAAATACATGTAGGATGTGGACAAAAGTGAAATTATACTATACAAAATATATTTTTTATATTCAAAGTATTTATACTCACTCAAAATGTTTTTTTACACAGAAAACAAACACTTTGAGTGAGGAGAAATACTTTGATTGAATATTTAAAAAAATATTTATTTGCATTGTATAAATTCACTTTTTTCCACATCCTATAGGTATTTGTTAAATTTAAACAATGTTTGTAAATACCCGGCTCTGAAGATGATCTCAATAAAGATCGAAACGTTGGCACGATAAAGAAAATGGTTTTCTGAAACCTACATCACACAGGACCGCATCTCACGATTTCCGAATAATCATTAGTAATCAGCATTGGTCAATTAGGCTGATTCTCTATTTCAAGTGATAAATTTTGTGAGCTAATATGTATACACAAATATAAAAATAATTACAAATATTTATTCCTTCGGTTTTAGGTTCCGTCTCGATGTTTACGATATATCTTTCAATTAATTAAGGTTTTTAGTTGAGATAAAAAAGTCAGTGTCACGAGCGGGATTCGAACCCACGATCTTCGGCTAGATATGCCGCTGCTCTACCACTTGAGCTATCGTGACCTCGATCCACTCGGACACTTCCCATCTCAACGCCACATTTTGAATTTTCCCTGCTTTTTGCATTTTTCAAGCGGACCACGAAACTAGTAAATTTAATGAGTTTACGATATAGATGACTCAATAATAATTATTATAGCTGAATTTTAGAATATACCTGATTTATGTAATATTTTCTTTCCTCATAATATCATCTACTTATTGACAGATTAATATAAATTAGTAAAATTTGGAAGCTTCTACGCTCTCTTTCTGGATAATGGTACTTTTTAATTTTTGAAACACAAAACGAGGAATGGAAAACGATGTTACAATTACCTCAACATCTTTTTAAAGAGGTTTGCTTTTCTTCAGCCGTGAGGGCCATCGATCAATTTTCTCTGGATTTAACTTATTGTGTTTATGTACGAAGAATCTTTTTTCAGCATCTGGTACTCTTCTCAGCCAATTGTGTAAACAAACCGAGTTTGGGAGAAGAAATCCCCACCAAATATTTCCATTTCGATTCAAGCAGAGATCAATTATTTTTAAACTAATTTCAACTTGTTTAAGATTCATTGTCCCGAATATCCTATGTTCTCTGACAATTCAATTACAGGAATTTTCCCCGGGGGGCGTTTGTCGTATTGAAAATAGAAGAGGACATGGAGTACATTTCTTTCTATAACTTAAAGTAAACTCGATTGATTTCTTGTCAGGCCACTTTATAGTTATTATTAACATAAATAAGAAATAGCATTTAATTTGATTGAAGAAAAATAAATTATGAAAATAAAATAATAACCGATGTTAAGCCACGGTCAAGGTTCGGTTTCTGTCCTGGCAGAGTAAAATCCGGGGGTAAAATTCGATTACGTCCCTCACGTCGTTCCAGTATTGCGTGATGGTTGGCCGTGACGCCGTTTTTTCTACATCCTTTGACCTTTCAATATTTTCTTCACCTCTTTAACAGATTTTAAATTATTATACAAAAGTAATATAAATACAACTAAAGTGATATATTATGTGCAAAAATTTACATGAAAAATCAAAATGATTAAAAACGACAATTTGAAGCATTGTCCTTGACTTTTTCACGTCAGAGTGGCATAATTAAACCGACGGTCTTACATAGAAGCCTCACATTATAAAATACTTAGCCCACAGCTAATGACCACCAGGGTTTAAAGCGCTTCATCCATTATTAAACGGTTTGGTAAAAAAAGGGGAAAATAACAAGAGAAAAGCCTGTGCTTTTTATACAAGGAGCTCTCAATTTACATTGATGGGACGTTTGTACATGAATCCTTTGTAAAACTTAAAACTTTTTTTACCTAGGTAGTAAGTTTTTTTATTGTACGCGATTCTGTTATAACAATCTGAATTTATTATTACATAAACAAATTGAGTTTAAACGTTTAACAAAATTTTAATTCCCAGAATTTGTATTTTGCAATTTTTTAACCAAAGGTTTCGAGGATTTCATTATACCTATTAGAGAATTTTTTTAAACGCATACCAATAAATGTTTTTAATCGTACATGCATTCAGCCACATTTGCTTCTGTATTTTTGATAATGATAGGCAAATGTCGGAAAAACCTGAGATTACAACAACAAAATTTAAACTTGCAAAATTCATGTCTCTTTCCTATATTTTTAAAGAAACTATAAAGAATAAGCATGTATCCTGAGCCGGAAACAAGGAATCGTCGCGATTAAGAATAGGCCATACGCGGTTGACACACGGGCACCTGCTCTTGGGCCAAAGCCCGCGCAGGTGCCCCTTATGCAGAAAAAGGTTGCTCGTGTCCCACATTCTGGAAACATGCCTTGGCTGCCATCCAATCTGAAAATGATACTCGAGCACTGCAGCGAGTTTCTGGGTCCCCTGTTTCGCTTTTTAGGGGAAATTGGGTTTTTTTATTGTATATAATATGTCTTATGTGTTGTATGTCTATATGTTTTGTCTGCGTCTTTGTATTTATTAGCGTGAATGGCGATGGATGAGGGTGAAATATAACGGCTGAAATGACCTAGATGAAGCCCCAGTCAAAAAAAATGAATCTTTTATCTTTTATCTCACGAGCACAGCATACGTTAATAATATCTTAAAACTGCACGACTTTTGAGATTTAGACTCTGTTGTTAAATTTTGAGGAATATTATTTAAACGAGTACGCACAGATTATTCAAATTATTGCTAAGTGCTAAGAAAAGACTAAGGACTTGGGATTACGGATATTAATCAAACTTTTTTTGGTGATATTAGATCAAAATAAAGCGTTCTTGCCCTAGAGATAGAGAAAATAATTAAATATTTTTTATATAATTTGTTGTTGCGTTTTGTAAGTAATAGTTGGTAATAGATTAAAATATTTTTTAACATGAAACAAATTAGATCACTCAAAAAACACAAATACAAAATTTTTGGCAAAAAATTCTAAGGTTTTTCACTTTACAAATGTCCGCGATTTGTGATTGAATAAATGCAATAAATTTTTAACGACTCCATTGATCCATAGGACAACTAAAATTGGATTTGAATCTAATGAACTTAACATAATGACATAAGTTAGGCCTCGACAAATAAATTAAAATTGGAGATAACAAATAAAACGATTGGATTTTATGTTGATTTCATTCTTATTTTCTCATTTACAAAGACACAAAATTTAACTTTTGGTCAAAAGCTAAATGAAGAGAAATTAAGCTTTGTAGGCGGTTGTAATACTGTGAACATCGGATAAAATCGGCGAAAATGAATTTTCAAATGGAACACCAGATATCGAAGAAAAACAAGGCCCAAAACGAGCAAAAATGTATATGTTTTTGTTTGCTATCAAAATTGAGAGTTTTAAAATGTGCTTTCAAACTAATCCGACTTTATTTATGATGTATATGCAATTATTTAATGAAAACCACAATGGCAGACGGAGTATTGTCCATTGTCTTTTGTAAATTTAATTGTATACGACAAAAATGTATAAAGTTTTATAAATTTACTTCTTTATTATTATTATTAAACGAATCCGAATTAGAAAAAAATAAAATTTAAATATTATTATAAACCGGGTGGTTCACTATGAGATATAAAATTGTGCATTGTAGACTGTATAAAGCGTATATTACACACACAAAAAACAGGTTTTCTAACTCACTTTGTCAAGAATTTTTAATTTATCCGTAAAAAGCGGTAGTTTTTAAAATTTATGTTAAATTTTCTAAAGATAGAGATTGAACCCTTTCAGTCCAGCTGATGGCCATTTCGCTGACACAAATCTATAAAATGTAAATATCGTAAGATCTTTAAG